TTCAGGATATTCAGATTTATACAAATTTTCATAATATTTAGCAAAAGCATTGTTTATACGTGTTGGGTCTACAACATTTTCTCCATCGTCCAGTGTAATTGAGTTAATAGCTCTATCTGATTGTATTTTTTTGAGCCTCCAGGCCAGGAGCTTCCCTGCCTTCTCACCCTGATCATAGTAGGACTGTTTCAACCACAATAAGTTTGTAGCTATTTTGTTAGCGCTGAGTTCGTTATATTCAGACTTTAATAATAGAAGTTTCTTATATTTGTCAGCGTCATCTTGATGATATAATTGGTCTTGCAATTCCTTTGTTTGTTTTTCAAGGTTCTTTAGTTTACTCAAATGCATTTTTGATTTACTTCTAGTGTAGCTTATTATTTCCCCCCTTATATAGGCCTTAAATGCCTCCCATTTTATCGATGCACTGGTTTGGTTTGTATTGAAGGAGAAATAATCTGTTATCTTCCCTTCTAGAAATTCTTCAAACTCAACAGATTTCAACCATTTCGCTTGGAATCGAAATGGGAGTGGATGGGAACTAAAATTGGGTATCTGTATGGATAAAATAACTGGGGCATGATCAGAGAGTAGAATAGTTTCGTACCAACATTTCTGAACCAGAGATACCAGACTGGAGGAGACCAAAAAAAAAATCTATACGCGAATAAGTTTTGTACGTGCTGGAGAAACATGAGAACTCTACCTTATCAGGGTAAATATGTCTCCAAACCTCCACCAAATTAAGGTCTCTCATGAATTTCCCAATAGTTTTTCTTGCTTGTTGGTGGGAGGTGTCAGAGGTATTTGATCTGTCCATTGTAGGATTAATCACACAGTTAAAATCACCTCCAATGATGTACTGGCCACTATAAGATGAAATAGTTAGGAAGAAATGTTGGTAGAAAGCAGGATCGTCCCCATTAGGGGCGTATAAACAAACCAGATTGACTAAAGTTGAAATTATAGTGCCACTAAGAATAATAAACCTCCCAGAAGGATCCAAGTATTTATCTCTTAATTGAAACGGAATTGACTTGTGGATCAGTATGATGACACCTCTAGAATGAGAGGAAAAACTAGAGAAGAATACCTGTCCAGGCCATCGGGATCTCACCCGGTTAATATCTTTCTCCAGCAAATGAGTTTCTTGTAAAAAGCATATTGTGGTCTTCATCTGCTTTATTCTACCCAATACTTGCTTAAGTTTAACAATTTTATTTAGGCCACGTACATTCCAAGTGGCCACATTTATAGTGGAGCTACCTGACATAACACAATTAACTTTTTATTTTATTATGCCAAAAGAGAGTGGCTGTACCCTTTTCAGTTTCACATCCATGTTTTGTAGACACCTTAAATACAAACGACCTTGAGTGAAGCTCCCAAAATAAAACCCCGCACATTTCCCCAAACGAAATGTGACCGTGAACCCTTCTAGACTAAGAACTTGGGTTAAACAAGACGTTTCATCCACAATGTGGGTAACGTACAACTGCGCACACATAACAACACCGGTGTGCTCGCAATAACAGTAGTCTCCGTTGAGAAAACCAGCACCGACCATCAGGAAAACCAGCGGCCCATACCGGCCCCCCAACAGGAGAACTTTGACCAAACAAAAAATAAAATAAAAATAAAAGTATGAATATGCCCCTGGTGTAAAAGCAGGTCAAATGGAAACTAGAAATAGTAGTGAAATAAAATGTATATCGTAAAATATGTATAGTCAAGCCAGTCACTTACTTATAGGTCCATTAGAACATCTTATACGGCTCTTGCCTCACAGTGACGGTCCGCTCCTCAGAGAGAGAGAAAAAAAAAATAATAATAAATAAAGGAGTTTCTGAGCTCAGTCTCCATCGTCGTCAGCAGCTGGTTGTCTCATTTTCTTAACGTAATCTTCAGCCTCTTCGTCCGACTTGAAGATGATACGCCTTTCGTTGTGTGTGATCATCAGCTGGGCCGGGTATAGCATCCCATAGCGGATATTCAGAGCGCGCAGCTTTGCTTTTACGCCGTCGAAGCGCTGCTGCTGGCGGCGGGTCTCTGGAGACAGATCAGGGAACAAACTCAGCCGATGGTCCTTGTAGAAAATCTCCTTCATTCTTCTGGCAGCGGTCATGGCGGCCTCTCGATCCCGGTAGTTCAGGAACTTCATGATCAGTACTCTCGCCGTCGTAGCTTTGGGGCTGTATGGTCCAATTCTATGCGCTCTCTCGATGATGGGAGGTGAAGTAAAACAACCACCGAGCGCGTCTGTGAGCCATTTCTCCAGAAATCCGCACATGTCTTTGCCTTCAGATTTTTCGGGTAGTCCCACCAAACGGAGGTTAGAGCGTCTGTTTCTATCTTCATAACTTGTAATCTTGCTGGATAAGTCGGTAATAGTTTGCTCAAGTTGTTGAACTTTACCTTGGAGAGAGGCTACATCATCTTCAGCCCGTGATATTCGCTCCTCAGCCTCATCGAGTCTTTGTGAATGCGCCTGTACATCCCCTTTCACACTTCTGATGGCTTCCAGTGTGTCAGCAGAATGTTTCTCCATGTCGACTCGTAATGAGTGGATAGCGTTGAGGATTTCACTGTTAGTAGTTGTCTCTCGAGCAGCGTCCTCAGAGTGGGTCAGATGCGGCGGCTGCGTAGCTTTGTTAGCATTAGCTGTAGCAACGTTAGCATTAGCTGTAGCAACATTAGCGCCGTTGTTCGATCTGGTTGTTTTTATAGTTTGTTGGCCTGGTGTGGCACCTTTAGGTGGTGGCATGATGAACAAAAAAATACTAAACACGAAAATGCGTCAAAATGATAGTTGGTCAAAAGTTAAGGATAAATCTGAAGGATTTTGTTGCGAGCCACTCACACGTGCGACCTCTTACCAAGCAGCCATAACCGGAAGTCAACCGAGAACTATTTATAATATTAAGATTGTAAACAGAATCTGAGTCAACATTGTGAAACTTAAAGCTGGTGTACCCAACTTTATTTGTTTAATTCATAAATATATGTTGTTTTTGTCCCAACCATAAACTGTAAATATTAACAGACGTAGGTCTATCAGCAGTTTCAAAATGGCCGCGGGGGCTGGAAAATGTGAAAAAACACATCTGTGCATTTGTCAGCTGCAGGAGCCCCATTCATTTAAACGAGAGACTTCTAAAGTCCACAGCGACTAAACTAGACTGGTCCAGAACACTCAGCATTGACACACATGTGGAACGAAGCTTTGGGCCAAGAGACACTTTTGGACCATCCTGTAAAGACGTTTTCAGCTAATGCTATATGTTAGCATTGAATAATTCTTATTCCGGGTCCACCCCCACAGGCCCCGGGTCTGGAATGCCCCCCCTCCCCCCCCCCCCCCCCCCCCATGTCAAAACTGCTCCTTTGTTGGAATGTTTTAAGTCTCGTCTTAAGACCCACTTTTATTCTCTGGCTTTTAACACCGCGTGAGTCGTGTGGTCCTCTGTGTTTTTTCTGTCCTTTTTTTATATATAAATGTGTGTATTTATTTATTTGTTGCCATTTTGCATGTTGTGCAGCACTTTGGAAACTGCATAATAGATACTGTAGATAAATAAATAGATAAAGTGGATTGGATTGGGGCGGTACTGCAGCATGTCAGCGCACCTCATTTTGGACACTTTAGCGCCGGGACCCGCCCCCACTGGTCCCAACAGAGAACATCTTGTTAAGTAACATTTTGTAGACAAATCAGAGCACTCCATGCCGTCGGTATCTCATCAGAAAACATTTGATCTTTTACATACTGAGAGCTGATTGGCTGAGGGACTTCTCTGATTGGAAAAGCTGATAAACAGATGTTGCAGAGGACAAAACTAATAATAAAACCAAACAGTTTCGAGAGATAGAAGTGAGTTACATGTTTTTTTTTTCACATAGTTATTTTCTACGATTTCAAAGCTACCCCAGCTTTAAAACTTTACTTATCACACAATGATGTACTGATTAAAAGTCTAAATACTAATAACTGACCTGTATGTTTTTAATTATGAAGAGGTTTTTTATCCCGGTCTGTGGAAGGCGCTACATAAATAAACTTTACTTATTTACTTAAGTGCCTTTGATCTTGATATTTTCTATAAGTAACAATCCAGATTCTTGAAGTGCGCCTGAGACACTCATTCGTCTTGTTATTGTCCTATTGCTTCACTAACTAAATCAAACATATGCTAAAGTATAAAAATAATCCATATTTAACAAAAGAGAAAAACTAAATCAGGAGTTCATTGTTAAATACCAAACAATGACAAAACCCCTTCCAGCCAGCAGAGGGCGCTCCAGGCCAAGCCATGTTCAGCCCATCCTGAGCTCATACTTACAATGTGACTTTATAGCGTTCAGATTTTACAACTAAAACCACTACTCACTGTATTTGTTAGCAATTCATGAACATTAAAGCTGGGGTACCTAACTTTGTCCATTCATAATTAATACATTGTGTTTGTCCTGGCAGAAGAGACATGTAAACAGTTAAATGTTGTGAACAAATTAGACCACAACAAGCAGTTTATCTTTGGAATACTTGTACAAAAAGAGCCCTGTGAGTCACTATGTGAAGCTTTGGGCTGCAAGCTGATTGGCTGAGAGAGGGTGGTCCACTCTTTTACACTGTTCTGTCCGAAAACGTTGATATGAAGATGTGAAAAGGCCCAAAACACTTGAAAACTTTAAAAACTGCTTCAGAGCCAGGTCCTGGTAACATGGATTAAACTGTATGTGTATGAAAGATAGGTACCCCAGCTTTAATGGGGCTGATAGCTCCAACTGTTGACTGTATGTGTATGAAAGATAGGTACCCCAGCTTTAATGGGGCTGATAGCTCCAACTGTTGACTGTATGTGTATGAAAGATAGGTACCCCAGCTTTAATGGGGCTGATAGCTCCAACTGTTGACTGTATGTGTATGAAAGATAGGTACCCCAGCTTTAATGGGGCTGATAGCTCCGACCGTATGCGTCTCGTGCAGTGGCTGTGAACAGATGGCCTCTTTTGGTCCAGCTGTGACTCCGGTGATGAGGTCGCTCTCAGATAAGATTATCTGCTCTCTTTATTAACCACTATCTGCTTCCAAAACAGCATTATTGACTCGTGCTGCTCCCGGACCGAGTCAGGCCAGACCCGAGTCAGGCCGGACCCAGGGCTGAGTCAGGCCAGACCCAGGGCCGAGTCAGGCCGGTCCCGGGCCGAGTCAGGCAGGACCCGGGGCCGAGTAAGGCCAGACCCGAGTCAGGCCGGACCCAGGGCCGAGTCAGGCCGGTCCCGGGCCGAGTCAGGCCGGACCCAGGGCCGAGTCAGGCCAGACCCAGGGCCGAGTCAGGCCAGACCCGAGTCAGGCCGGACCCAGGGCCGAGTCAGGCCAGACCCAGGGCCGAGTCAGGCAGATCCGAGGCCAGTTTAGAGGTACACTGTGTGGTTTTTACTCCCATCTCTCATTGAGATCATTTATTGTAATCTACGGTACTACGGTGGCCTTGCAGGACAAAATGTGGCTGACATGTAGAGTCCTGCTCTCATGTACTTTTATAAGTCAAATTCTAAGTCAAAAACATGGTGGAGGTAAATATTCTTTAAAAAGTCACATTTGTTATTTGTTAACATTCATTTAGAGCAACTGTAAAAAATACACAGAGGACCTTTAAAGCAGGAAGGGTTAAATACTGTATGTTTTAAGTCTTCTTTAGTCGCTGAAATCTGGTAAAGTTAAACACTTTCATAGTATTTCCATCAAATGGTTGACGGCCTTTTTAATGTAAGAATTGTATTTTAGCTGGATGTGCCAGATTTGTGTATATGACATTTCCAAAACCTGTTGCCTCGCTTCTGTCAGTGTGCCCCGGGGCAGCTACAGTAAAAGTTTATCACCGCTGTATAAAACCAACACATTATTATTATTATTATTATTATATTTCTGTTGTTTTCTTCCAGCAACAATCTTCAACAGGTTTTGTTATTGGCGATACATTGGATATGAAAGAATTTGCTCAAGAAGCCGTTAAGCTTAAATGGCACTAAAATATCTATCTCATAACCTCCACTCATAGCTCAATCCTAAAAACACATTACATAGAATTAGTTTAATACTTTGTCCAATAAAAACAAATGAAAAACGACACCTCCCTTTCATTTAACGAGCCACGCGTCTATTTCCTTAACAAATCTGCGTTTAAAGCTTTAAACTTTAAATTACCCAAGAATTTAGGAGATAAAAATGTTGCCCGTTCATTATGTGACACCGTTATTAGGTTATTAACAGTGAGGGCTCTTTTGGCGCCAGGCCCGAGTGCGGTCTCCCTTCATCTCACTCAACACTCAATGGGACGGACACATTTCGGTAAATTAAAACGGCATGGTGCTCAGGCCATTCCGAGCTAAATTTAGGACTGCCACAACCCGGTTTCTTTAGGTCACATCACTCAGGCTGGACCGAAAGTGAACGAGAATGTGTTTTGCTCTTATGTCCTTATGTCCTGACTGAATATGGAGAAATGTTAAATATTTAAGCGTGAAGTAAGTTTGTTGTTTTGAGAATGGGGTAAAAACAAAAGGTGGAGGTGATGTTTGAAATGTCAAAGGGCTGGATATATACGGAGAAAGTGCCCTGGTTTGGATGTTCTGTTTGCAATAATATGTTTACAATGACAAATATTAAACGCACTGTTAAAATCATTTCTTTTGTCTAAGAAACACTAGTAAGTAAGTCATGTTTATTTATATAGCGCCTTTCACAAACCAGAGTCAAAGCGGTTTACACACAGACATGGGAGGGGCATCTCTGTGACCTATTGTATATGTTTTTAGTGGTAGGAGAAACCGGAGTACCTGGAGGAAACCTATGCAGAAACAGAGAGAACATGCAAACTTAACTCAGAAAGGCCCTATTCCGACCGGGATTCGAACCCAGGACCTTCTTGCCGAGAAGCGAGAGGGCTAACCACTCAGCCACCGTGCTGCCCATAGTCTCTACAGTATTTCCACCTGTTTTGATTCATCCAATTGTTCCGTTTCTTAATCTGTTTGTCCATGCTGCACAAATGTATACAGACCATATATAATGTATGTACCTGTGGTGTGGAAAGACATGGACATATGAATAAGATAGGCAAGTTACCAGGATGTGAAAGTGACCCAACACACAATAAATCCAAAGCATTTCACATTAGATATTTGTTATAAACTTTCTACTATTTGTACATTTACCGTTGGGTTGTGGTTGAATCCAGTTTAGAGACAGGAGAGAGATCCATAGGTCACGACATCAGCTGACGATGATAATGTCAAATATCACGTTATTAGAATCTTCACAAAACTTACACATGTATCTTTCTTGCTTCAAAAGGACTTCTGCAAAAAAAAAAAAAAAAAAAAAAAAAAAAGTGTCTTCCTCCTTTTGAGCATCAATACGTATTTATTTTTTTCTTTCCTTTCTTTTTTGTTATTATCTTGTATTTATTGTCATTTGTTTTGCTTTTATTTTTTGTTTTTACTGTTTTTTAAATTTATTAATGTTCAAATAAACATAAATAAATGAAAAAAATTAAGAGATCTGGTTTGTTTTGCATTTTCAGGTGTTTACGACTCCTGCATCAACGTGCACAGAGAAAGTTATGGTTAACAACTTTTTAGGTGTGTGTGTATGTACAGCCTGTGTGTCTATGTGTGTGTGTGTGTGTCTGTGTGTGTGTGTGAGTGTGTGTACAGCCTGTGTGTCTATGTGTGTGCGTGTCTGTGTGTGTGTGTGAGTGTGTGTACAGCCTGTATGTGTCTATGTGTGTGTGTGTCCTCTCCTCCGCGCGCTAAGGAATCGCACTCAAAACTTGTGAATCGACAACATCCTTTGTGATCTGGCCCCTCACAAGTGGCCCCGAAGTGCATTTACTGACGCCGTTCACATGCGGACGCGCGGAGCCATAATTCACCGCTGCAGGGTCTTAACAACCGGCCCAGTATCTCCATAAAATATGAGAGCACTCCCGGTGATGACTGAGTCCGGGTTCGCGGCGCACTTTCAGCCTATAATAACGCAGCAGTGTCTCTCTAAAAATAAAAAAACACACATGGTTGCTGCGTAAAACCAAACGCAGCCACGTTACGCACGCACGCTGTTAATGGCTGTCATCTCAGAAGGCCCCAACCCGTTCTGTTTCCAAGGCCTGCTATAATGACAACAAAATATAAAAGTTCAATTGTTTCATGTCGAACCTGCAAAGCACAATTTCCCATATTTTCACAATATAATGCAGGTTTGAAAAGGGGTTGGATGAAGCAGACGTCTGATCCCAACCCCTTTTCAACGGGGTATTCAACACACGCATTCAACACACAATAATAATAGAATACAAATAATAAACAAGCAGAATATGAACAGTATGAGACCCACACACAAATACCAAACACACACGCGCACACGAATATCACGTGTATATTTGTAATGCTGGATAATTCTGAAATGGATTTATTCGCAAAATGACGTGGTTTTTTATTTTTATTATTTCGCCTTATTGCAAAAAGAGACTATATCATTGTTATTGCCATTGTAAGTAACAGGGAGACACTGGGGAATTGCTTTGGCTCTCGGTGCAAACAAGTCAAAAGTAAAATAAGGCATAACACATACGACTTCTATACTTCTACAAGCGCCTGAGTCTGTTCCTTCTTAATGCACTCTTCTCTCCGGCAGCTGCAGCTCATAATGTTCTCAGGCATATTCTTTGTGAAGCCCCGAAACAATGATTTCCACGGTGGGAGACGCATCATTAACAGCAGCACCGCGGTTCTTAATAGAGTGAGGGGCCAGTGAGGCGTTCACGGGCCCTCGGACAGTCAGGACTGACCACTGGGACAGGGGAAAATACTCTAAATAAACAAGTCCTAAATGTTTGTGTTGTGTGGATGTGAAAGGAGAAATATGTTAATGTTGTAAGCAAAAGGTTGGTCTATGTATTTGTTACGGTTGTTAAATTATTACATCAAGGGTGATGCTACTCTTTCCATAAAGTTATTTAGAAAAATCTCAAGACAAAGGCAGATTTCTTCAACTCAGCAAACTTTGAAATTAGTTGGTCTCCACAGTTGTGCTTTTAGAACGACATCAGCAACCATCCGCATATGCTGCAGTAAAAAAAAGCCTGAATGAAGTCAGAGCAATACACATGTAATTGTTTTTATCCTGAATGAGTGAGAGAATACATTGGTATTTTAAATTATCTGATATTTTAGATGCGTATTTTGAAATGGGTATTAATTAATTATTATGGGCATTAATACTCTATCCATGTGTCTATATGAGCTCCACTAAATCTCTCCATTGTTGGATGAATCAATTCTCTTATCTCATCTTGAAGCTGCTATTTCCGACATCCAGTCAACTTACCATCCATCCCCACATTCTGAAGAGCGCACGAGTGAAGGCTCTGTCTCCTCCAATCAGCGTGCGCCCTCGCTCAGCCTTGTCCAATGGGAATAGCGCGCTCGCAGGTGGCTGTGCTGTTATCTACGGCTCCTACTTCTCTCCAGCCATAGAACGAGTTCATTTATCGACAGGCGAGCGGCCCTTTAATGGTTCCCATCAAACCCACTCAAAGCCATCATCACAGAGCCGAGGATTCGTGACACAAAACCCCCGACGGCGAGGACTTTAGGACGCGCGTTCCCCAGAGAGCGCCACCTCTGAAACTTCCTGCTTATCCCGGGATACTTTGGAGACACTTTGGACACGTTACTGCACTTTATTTCACGTTTTTCTTTACAGCGCTCAACTCCACCGAGTGACAAATGTTAGCGGTGGGGCAGATGGAGGCAAACCGGCAGAGCGCGTTCGTCCTGGGCAGTACTCCTCTGGCCGCGCTGCACAACATGACGGAGATGAAGACGTCTCTGTTCCCGTACACGCTGCAGCAGGGTCCCGCTGGGTTCAAGGCCCCCTCGCTCTCCAGCCTCAGCTCGCAGCTCGCCACCCCGCACGGCATCAGCGACATCCTGGGCAGACCCATCACCACGGCCGGGCAGCTGCTGTCGGGCTTCCCACGGATAAACGGACTGGCCACGACCGCGGGGATGTACTTCAGCCCGGCGGTGTCGCGGTATCCCAAGCCGCTGGCAGAGCTCCCAGGCCGGGCTCCTATTTTCTGGCCCGGGGTGATGCAAGGATCGCCCTGGAGAGACCCGAGAGTTCCCTGTCACAGTAAGTATTGCCCCTCCATGTTGCAATATTTTCATTTAACATTATTATCCGTTAGTAACAGCACTTCATTAGCTGCATGAAATAAAATGCAAGTTCCCTGTTCTTATAAAGCTGTGTAACTATGGACTTAATCACTGCTTTTAATACATTTTAATATATAGTTGTCTCAGTAAATAACTTAAAGGCTTCTTCGACACAGTTTAAGTTCACTTCTCTACCAGAAACTAAACAACTTTATATAAATCCCAGTGTAGCACCAATACTAAAGGTGTAAAGTTGTTATTTTATATTCACTTGGGAAACTCCAACTGGCCGTGACACAAAACACTTACACTATTATGAGCATTTTGAAACGTCTATAATTAATTTAGTAAATATAAAATTATGAGGTTGAGAAGAGTTAGAACATACAACTTTTAATGTAGTTATTTATGTATAAACAAATAGGCTTGTTTTAATCACTTTCATATCTCATCTAATTTTATACAGAAAGATATAAGCGTTCAACTAGCTGTTTTTGTCCAATCAAATGCCTTCAAATGATCTATAGGCGACTTGTATATCAGATAATTCAGTTATTTAATTCTTCTCTATAACAGACATATATAAACGTTATTACCTGTTTAGAGCTGTCTCCCGTCTTCCCATCTTCACTTTTCTCACATGATTCTGGAATAGAAGAACCAAATAACTTTAACCACTCAGACAAAATGCACCTTCCTAAACTATATACGTATTTCCAAATAAACAGACCAGACCGCGCTGTGATGTGTTAAATTGAGCCAGCCCCAAACACACATTTAAATCAGGTTTTTGTTCTGCATTATTGTACAGCGTTATAAAGTCCGTGTCTTTCCCTCACAGCTCAGGCCAGTCTCATGATGGACAAGGACGGGAAGAAGAAGCACTCCAGACCCACGTTTTCCGGACAGCAGATATTTGCTCTGGAGAAAACCTTTGAACAGACCAAATATCTGGCGGGACCGGAGCGAGCGCGTCTGGCCTACAGTCTGGGCATGACGGAGAGCCAAGTCAAGGTATAGGAACCATCATATTTTTTTTTATTTTTTATTTTTTATTTATTTATTTGATCGGGACAACACACATTAATGAACAATCATATACAGTTGTACACAGATTGTAAATGTGCCACAATATATTATCATATTTTATTATTTTCTATAGCTGCTGATTTTCACACGAGAAATTACACACATTTAAAGTTAGTTATATACTGGATCTGGCAAATGTACAATAATTTAACAACATATATCTACGTCCATAGTTTGTATATGTTTTACTTTGTAGGAAACAGCATTGTAATGTGGATAGATGTGGGATTTAATATACTGTGTTTTTAATGACTCCCACTCACTTGCGGACACAAGGGAATAGTAATGTACATTTGTATAAGCATAGATTGTCAGAATAGATACATGTTAATAATAATTTAAAGTGCAAAGGCTTTACGTGGCCATTGTTTAGTTTCACCTGTTGCTAATTCTTGCTTTGGCTGATTTATTTTTATTTATTTTTTATATTAGCTTCAAAAGGTTCACAATGTTGCTTTGACAAAACAAAACGCTGTGGTAAAACTTGCTAATAATTGTCTTCATATTGGGTTGTTTTAGCCATTATGCTAATTTGAATAAGCTAGCGTGCACGTGCGGACTTCTATGTTTGCTAATGCTAACCTCTGAAATCTTTTAAAACTTTTAAAACACAATTTAAATATGAGGCTACGCTACTTAACCTTGTACTAATTACTTAACAAGGCATTTTTAATCATACACACTCTAGTAATTAAAAAAATAATCCTGATTTCACTTGTTGCTTTTTGCCACGGACATAAATCTTGGTATTTCGCCCGCAGCAAAGTCCGGCCTTGTCCTGCTGCAATAATATAATTATTAAGGTTATTTTTTTTTATATATTTGCCTATATTTTAGAGGGAAAATGCAATTGTATTTATTTATGTATACATTTTAGCAAGTTGCTCTTTCTTGTTGAATTTACAATAACACCAACACGGTATAAATACAATTATAAATACGTATTTTTTCCCCATTTATTTATTGAAATGAAAAATACCAATACAATTTAAATTTCTCTGAGCCCGGGTAAAAATACCATGATTTTAATTTTTATTAATGATTTTAATCCTATCTTATTTTGTTCAGCACTTGTGTATGAATTGTGCTATATAAAAAAACTTGCCTTGCCATGGTTTTAGTGAGTCCCTTTCCCCGGTGATGACGCTAAACCTGTTGTTGTGGCCGTTCTTCTGCAGGTCTGGTTCCAGAACAGACGGACCAAGTGGAGGAAGCGGCACGCTGCAGAAATGGCCACGGCTAAGAAGAAGCATGATTCGGAGACGGAGAAGATGAAGGAGAGCTCAGAAAACGAGGAAGATGACGAGTACAACAAACCCCTGGACCCAAACTCAGACGACGAGAAAATCACGAGACTTTTAAAGAAGCACAAAGCCACGAACCTGGCGCTGCTCAGTCCCTGCAGCAACAGCTCGGACACGTTGTGATGGACGTAATGATAATAATAATAATAATAATAATATCACACGTATTCAGAGACTTTTAACGCACTCTACCGCGGCCCTTTGCACCTGCTCTGACCCCTGCGGAGACGGACACGAGTGGAACGAGAAAAGCGTTAAAAAAACAACAACAACAACAGTATTATTATTATTATAAACAAGAAGAAATAAAAATGGTGGGAGATACACGCACCCAGTCATCCGGAAGACGAAGGCCATAAAAGGACAAATGCCGTTGCTATGGCGACCGGCAAACTTTCTCACACTTTTTCTTTTTGACGCTATAAGTAAGATGTTTTAACACAGCCTGTAAATGTAAATTATAATATGCATAAACACAACGGACCAGTGTTGGAGCAATTGAAGTGTTTAGATGAGCTACATTTATTAAATCTGGTCTTAAAAGGTTCTTAATGAGGCAAAGTGTAAAGAAGCTAGCGCTGTTAGCTTCCTTAATTAAGCAGTACTTAAGAACCTTCTAAGCCTTAAACATAACATCATTAACTTTTTACATTTAATACATAGATTAAATTTGTTTATTTTCATTTATTTTTTTTTATTTAAAAACACACAACAAAAAAACGCCACGGTGCAGACGCAGACTATATATCTTACAGGTCCCATTTGTTATTATTTTTGAAACATTCAGCAGTTCTTCAACAAATATGTCCCTGCTTTTCCGATTGGGCCAATTTTATAGCACTATGAAGCAAATTACATCTACAAATTCACATTCCACAATTCCTAACGTCATTTACATTTTTGCCAACTCTTGCCCTTTCAAAAGATCAAGCATTTTACAATAGAGTTAGTTCCTAAATCATTTATATTTTTGAAACTAATTCATATTGTTTATTAGGACAAATGTATTTTCTGGCTCAGAAACATCAATTATTTTACATTTCAGTTCAGATTGTTTTAGCTCAGAGCAGACTTCAAAAGCAGTAGGCAGATAATAATACATTCTAAAATCCCACTTCATTGCATAATTACATTGAATCTATGTTGTCAACGTGAAATTAATAGTTAGAAAACATTACAGAAATGCCAGAATTCTTTCCTGACCTTTCAGGTCAGGTTTAAAAAAAGAAAGTTTGATATTTTTATTTTTCCTGACACTTTCTTCTTCAGGATTTGATAAGTGTGCATTCTCCAGCACTGGTCCTGCAGACGGCCCCATGGCAGGTGTGAAGGGCCCATGGCAGGTGTGAAGGGCCCATGGCAGGTGTGAAGGGCCCATGGCAGGTGTGAAGGGCCCACGATGCTTTTAAAGCTCACATTAACCAGGGTACACTGTCCGCAGAGCGACAGGATAAAGACAGAGCGGACACTTCTATTTGAGATTGTATATATTTTTTACTGTATAAGTTATATGTTGTGAAGCAGTGGACTTGCGCTTATCTCCTGCTGTTCCCCGCTCTCCTCTTGTTCAGATGTACAGATAAATGTAAATACTCCAGAGTAAGTCCTTGGCTTGTTTTAACCCTGCAGCAGAAGCTCATTAGTTCGAGCTCCTCAGCGGCACCACTGCTTCTGTCGGACTTAAAGAGAGAATTATTGCTTCCGGAAAGTTACAGGAAGAGAAAAGAAAACACTTTGTATTATGAATAAATTATTTAACAAGCATTTATGTTTTTTATGTTTTGATTTTTGAGTACATGGGTCTAATTTAAAGGAAAAAAAACTATATGACCACATTCCTGAAATGCCAACTGAGTGAAATACTTGAATTGTTGTGACCTGCATCTTAATTTCAGATCAAATAAATGCTTTCAGTTGCCTTTCAATACAGTCCTTATTCTTACTGGGTGTGTTTTTACATGTTCTTATAGTTTACACTTAGATGAAATGGCCCGTTTCAAATGTCTCTCCCTCATGTTAAAGAAGCACTATGTAATATTTGCATTTCATCATTAAATGGCCCCAATATTTCAAAAGACATTAAATCATGTTCTTTTCCAATACTTCTTTAACTGATAACAGTCGTTCAGAGATATTTTAATTTCTAAATTACTTTTCCAGCCTCTAAATCTTGTTTTGTTTTAATTTCGATGTCCCGCCCTCCACCGTTTCACCAATCAGAAAGTCCGTGATCCCGACGCCAGAACTCACCGCGTGGAGCTAATCTCACTGGTAAAGTACCATGTGGAGCTAATCTCACTGGTAAAGTACCATGTGGAGCTAATCTCACTGGTAAAGTACCATGTGGAGCTAATCTCACTGGTAAAGTACCATGTGGAGCTAATCTCACTGGTAAAGTACCATGTGGAGCTAATCTCACTGGTAAAGTACCATGTGGAGCTAATCTCACTGGTAAAGTACCATGTGGAGCTAATCTCACTGGTAAAGTACCATGTGGAGCTAATCTCACTGGTAAAGTACCATGTGGAGCTAATCTCACTGGTAAAGTACCATGTGGAGCTAATCTCACTGGTAAAGTACCATGTGGAGCTAATCGCACTGGTAAAGTACCATGTGGAGGTAATCTCACTGGTAAAGTACCATGTGGAGCTAATCTCACTGGTAAAGTACCATGTGGAGCTAATCTCACTGGTAAAGTACCATGTGGCGCAGAACTAAAAAAGGTCTCGTTATGATTCTCAAATCATTAACGACAAAACAAGGAATAAAAGCAGGATTTATATCGGGAAGCCTTTGAGAAATTGAGACAATTGAAGACGGATAAAAACTTTCCGTGTGATGCTAAACTTGCGGTGAGTGCGATCTTCATAAACAGTTGAAATACCTGGAGTTCATCATTCAGTGGCAACAAACAGTGTCAAGTGCAGGATTTTAGTCCTAATGCAAGTGACTTAAAGTGACTTATTGTACAGTCTGACAGCGGTGGGGATAAAGGCCCTGCTCCTTCCTACACTGAAGGAGCTCCTCCTCAGTCCTGTGCAGGAGGTGTTGTTCATGATGGAGGTGACTGTAGCACCTCCTGTCCCTCACCTCCTCCACAGAGTCCAGGGGCCTCCTGTCCCTCACCTCCTCCACAGAGTCCAGGGGCCTCCTGTCCCTCACCTCCTCCACAGAGTCCAGGGGCCTCCTGTCCCTCACCTCCTCCACAGAGTCCAGGGGCCTCCTGTTCCTCACCTCCTCCACAGAGTCCAGGGGCCTCCTGTCCCTCACCTCCTCCACAGAGTCCAGGGGCCTCCGGGCCCTCACCTCCTCCACAGAGTCCAGGGGCCTCCTGTTCCTCACCTCCTCCACAGAGTCCAGGGGCCTCCTGTCCCTCACCTCCTCCACAGAGTCCAGGGGCCTCCTGTCCCTCACCTCCTCCACAGAGTCCAGGGGCCTCCTGTCCCTCACCTCCTCCACAGAGTCCAGGGGCCTCCTGTTCCTCACCTCCTCCACAGAGTCCAGGGGCCTCCTGTCCCTCACCTCCTCCACAGAGTCCAGGGGCCTCCGGGCCCTCACCTCCTCCACAGAGTCCAGGGGCCTCCTGTTCCTCACCTCCTCCACAGAGTCCAGGGGCCTCCTGTCCCTCACCTCCTCCACAGAGTCCAGGGGCCTCCTGTCCCTCACCTCCTCCACAGAGTCCAGGGGCCTCCTGTCCCTCACCTCCTCCACAGAGTCCAGGGGCCTCCGGGCCCTCACCTCCTCCACAGAGTCCAGGGGCCTCCAGTATCTCTGTATATTCAGATACAGCCTACAGTATACGTTTCACAAGTTTGTTTCTCCATGTCCCACTCTGATAGAAATAAATGGTGATCCATTTTAAATAAATGTTTATAGTTGTTTTGGGGCCAAAATGTTTCCTTTTGTATCTTAATGACCTGTGTGATGTGTCTAAAATATTACATTTTGCACTATTTGCAGATGACACAAATTTCTTTTGTTCTGGGACGAATATAAGTACTTTAATTACTACTATTGAAAAATAAATTGTCCTACTTCAAAAATGGTTTAATGTCAACAAACTCTCCTTAAATGTAAGCAAAACCAAGTTCATGCTGTTCACCAATCAAAAAAGGGTGGAAGATATTGAATTATATTTTAATGGTGTTAAAGGGGCGACAGTAGCTCAGTTGGTAGAGCATTGGCCTTAAGCCCAGAAGGTTGTGGGTTCAATTCCCACCTCTGCACCTTCTCCACCGACTCCCACTGATGACTGCTGTCGTTGTGTCCTTGGGCAAGACACTTAACCCCACTTTGCCCAAAGCCCCCACTGAAAGATCAAGGCTATGCTCACACTCAGAGAGCAGCCGTCCTCCTGTGGACTCACCACCTGCAGAGGGTCAGTGAGGGGCTGGTGCTATGAGACTTGGGTGGCATCTCTGACTGCCACCCCCCTGACCCAGAAATGGATTAAAGGGTAGAAAATGGATGGTGTTAAAATCGAAAGGTTTCCAAAATCAATTTTTTAGGAGTCATTATTGATGAAAACCTAAAATGGAAACAACACGTTGCTTCACCAAAAAAGAAAATCTGTAAGAATCTTGCCATATTGAGCAAAGTAAAATATCTGTTGAACTAAAGGCAATGTGAACTCTATACTGTTCTTTGATCCTCTGTATTATATATTATATATATTATATGTATTATATATATTATATGTATTGCCTTGAAGTCTGGGGAAACTCCTACAACACTAATTTAACACCTTTAGTCATTCTACAAGAGCTTTACGAATAATACACAAAACTGCTCCAAGAGAACACACAACTGAACTATTTTTGAAGTCAGGACTGTTAAAAATGAAAGATTAATTGTATTAAAGACATTATTGATTATGTTCAGAGCACGACATTATTTATTGCCCCGTGGTCTTCAAATGTTTTTCTCTGTAAACGATGAAATCAGCAGAATCTGGATTTTAAAAGGTCTTTTGCAAGAACAACACTCAAACAAATGTCCATCTCATACGCTGGTGTAAAACTGTGGAACTCTGTGGACAATGAATTTAAAACATGTTCAAATAAATTACAATTTAAGTTCAAATGTAAACAAAAAATGATCAAGTCCTGTGTTAAATGAAGTGAGAAATAGTATTGTATTTGTATTAGTGGTATTTGTTGTATTGACTGGGGCAGGGGTTTAAATAAGACTTCATCCTACTCTTGTTCTTTATGTGACTGTAATGTTATATAAGAACCAATAAATGAATGAATGAATATACAAAGACTTTACATTTGATCCCAAAGGATAATAATTGACGAATATCAATCAAGACACAGAATAACTTCATATTGTAAAATGTACACGTTTCTCTTTCAGTAACTGTTGATTCCATGATATAATATTAGTATTGTCTGTTCTAAAGCGTTCGTAAACACAGGATTCCTGCATCAGCCTCAGTGTGAGTGAAAGAACGACAGCCACAGGTGTAAGCTTTATGGTTTTTATTGCTTGAGAACTGCATGACCTTTACACAGAGGCCGGTCCATGATGGAGCAGAAGAAAAATCTCTATATCAGCTGATTTTACTCAAACATGGAGTGAACGAAGCGACCGCGGCTTCACATCCTTCGCCGTACACTCAAAAAATGATGGAATTAAAGACAAAAAGTACTCAAATTTTGCTGAATGTTTCTAAATTTGAGCACATTTTGACTGCCTTAAAACAAGATTTGCCAGTGGAACAAGAAAAAATATATTGTTTTAAAAAGATACAAGACATTTCTCTCTTGGAATGAGAAAATAAAGCAATACTTCTTGAATCAAGTCAAAATGGCTTGTCTCATTGGCAAATCTCATTTTAAGACAGTAAGAAAGAACTTAAATTAAGATAAAAACAACTCGATTCAAGCAATTATTATCTCATATTTGATCATTTTTTGCAGTGTACACTCAAAAAGAACCAACAGCAACAAAAACCGTGAACCCATAAACGAGACAATGGAAACAAACCAGGCACAGTGAGGATTGGACAGACAAATAACTGGACTTTAAAAGTGCATATGACGGGGTTCAGGACACTTTTGGTTTATTTTTGTTAATGTTTGCTTAGAAAGAGTCTGAAACGTCACGTATAGTTTTACAGTTGGTAAAACAGTGGAGGACGTCACAGGAGCAAAGACTGAGAACTAAAGACATCAAAACACATCTCAGGAGATTTTTCCATATTTGAAAGATTGCATTTTGTTGATAATGTTGTGCTTATTTTTTAAACATTCTGTATTTGTCTTTAAATTTGGCACAGTTTAAAAGAGACACAGTTTTGGCACTTCACTTATGTCGACAAAATAAAGTAGAATTAAAACATTTTGCTTTGTTAAGTTAAACAGAATGACTCTTTGGGCTGAGAGATACCGTTTGGAACGAGCAGGTGGACAAAGTAAAAACATGTTCCAAGATTCAATTCACCAAATCTTTAAAAAACAAAAAGGAAAGAAAAGGTGGGGTATAGGGTCAGAGAGTGTTTTGAGGTTGTGTCTGAGTTAGTGTGTGTGTGTGTGTGTGTGTGTGTCAGTGTGTGTGTGTGTGTGTGTGTGTGTGTGTGTGTGTGAGGCGCTGCGCAGACGTTGCTCTGAACAAAAACATCCAGGTCCTTCTGCAAATACACAGCGTTCATACGAGGATCAAAAACTATGTAGTTCTAGCGCTCGGCCAGTAGGGGGCAGAGGAACTTTACAACACGACACACGAGAGCCCCCCCACCCCCCCAGCAGTGTACTCACTTCCTCAACAACATCCTCCTCGGGCGCCGCAAAGACGGGAAAGAACCAACTTCGTTCTTTAACAGCAGCAGCGAAAATGTAAACTGAAACTAGAGCTTTGCGTGGTCTCGTTTGGACGAAGGGGTAGAATCCTCCTTCGTTAGCGCTCGAAGCACACGTAGCTGGTTAGCACACGTAGCTGGTTAGCACACGTAGCTAGTTAGCACACGTAGCTAGTTAGCACACGTAGCTAGTTAGTGAACTCGCCGCCATTGTTGTTTACGTTTGTTCCACTGCACATGTCCAAATGTACGTGCGGGAGCAGCGGGAGGTGGGGTCAGAGCAGCAGAGAATTTAGACCTTTTCCTTCAGGCGGGTGTGAAAGAGCGCCCCCTGCTGAGCACCTGAGGTGTCCCACTCTGAGGCTGGATCTGAACTCTTACGTTTTCAGTGTGTGTCAGTGTGTGTGAGTGTGTGTGTGAGTGTCAGTGTATGTGTGTGTGTGTCAGTGTGAGTGTGTGTCAGTGTGTGTGTGTCAGTGTGAGTGTGTGTCAGTGTGTGTCAGTGTGTGTGTGTGTCAGTGTGTGTGTGTCAGTGTGTGTGTATGTCAGTGTGTGTGTGTGTCAGTGTGTGTGTGTGTCAGTGTGTGTGTGTGTGTGTGTGTGTGAGTGTCAGTGTATGTGTGTGTGTGTCAGTGTGTGTGTATGTCAGTGTGTGTGTGTGTGTCAGTGTGTGTGTGTGTCAGTGTGAGTGTGTGTCAGTGTGAGTGTGTGTCAGTGTGTGTGTGTGTCAGTGTGAGTGAGTGTCAGTGTGTGTGTGTCAGTGTGTGTGTATGTCAGTGTGAGTGTCAGTGTGTGCGTGTGTGTTTTGTCTCTATAGCATGTAAACAAGGGAATACATACACCTAACTTCACAATAACCACACAACATTTTTTGATTGCAAATTATCTTTTTCTGATTGATTCTGAGCGACCTGATTGGCTGAGGGAGGGTGGACCTCTCCTTTTCACTTTCCATCTAAATAACCAGATACACACACATGTAAGAACTCGAGACAGAACCAAACTGCTTTGAGTCCAACAATACTAAATATATTCACATTATGAACCCGTCATACGCACTTTTATAACAATTAGCACGTCATGTAGTGTACAGCAGCGTCCCCTGCTCTTATCTGTGGCTACAATTATACAAATAACAGCCTTATTCCCAAAACCTTTGTTTTTTGTTTTTTTTTAGCGTCATAGCAAGTCAACACCATTTACCAGCATAAAACACACACTGCATTCTGTGTGGATACTTGGCACCGAAAAAAATAAAAATAAGACATGACATAAAACAGTTTAACCCAAGCCTATCTAAAAATATCACATTCAAAGATCCATAGTATACGGTAAATAAGTTAAGTAAGTCATAAGTGATCATAAACATATACTTGCATGGTCTATGGCACTGCTTTAAACATTCAGGTAGGCAAACGCACAAACGGGAATATTGTGTTTCTTCTGGTCTGCTTTTGGTAAAGATTTATAAATGATTCCTCTTTAAAAGTACAGTATATGATGGAGTCGGGCTTAAAACTGCTAAAATCAGCCACGACTGTGTTTTTCACCGACAAATGTACAAATGAACCTAACGTTAAAGATATTTTTTTTGTTTTTGCATTGCACTCTGCATATTTTCTTACACGTCGTATGAGAAGCTCTATACACAAACTTAAAATGGCGTCTAAAAGTAGTCGTTTCCGTTAGAGTTTTGGTGAAGAAGAGGCGTTATGGCTTTGGACACGGCCACTGCTTAAAATTACAAGAAAATATGTCAAAATGTGCTAGAATTAGGAAAAATGCAGCTGTTTTTTCTGTTTTTGTAAAAAGTGTGTCTGAATGGTTGGGACAGGACTCGAAAAATACACTTTTTGCTTCGACCAATCCCTTTTCAAACCATTCTTGTTCATTTTTATCATATTTTTTCTTCTTCTGTGGATTATTTTAGTAAATCTTTTGCATGTTTGAAATATAACCACTAAAAAAATGCGTTTGAATAATGGGATTTGCAAATGGAACAGGTTCAGTATTAAAGCTTTTAAAGGGAAAGTCACATCAACATTATCATCATCATCTTCAACAGTCTTCTTGAAAATGTGAGACAGGCCTCTACTCGGACGATAATAAAACCCGGGTTAAAAACAGCTCTGTTCAGCCGTGTTTACAACTGAAGGATTCAATCTTCACTCTTAAAAATGCACCGATTATTTCCGTGTTTTGCTTGAGTTCTTACAGTATGCATGAGTTGTGCTTGAACTGTGCTATACAAATAACCTTGCCTTGCCTATTACCATCAAGGAACAGTTTAGAGAGACATTTACAAAACATTAGGCAGAATTTCTATGTACAGACAAAATCCTGCCGTCTCTCAGAACGCTTTAAATGGACAAAAGTTTAGATTTTTAGATCCAATTTCTCATGTATTAGTGTTTAGATCAGGGGTGTCCAGTCTTGATCAATCTGAGAGCTACTTTGATACAACAGAAGAGGCAGAGAGCTACTCCTTTTTGCAGTTGTTATAAAAATCTATCTAATAATTATTCCAAAACAGTTCAAACAGGTGTAAAACATACCATGATACTGTAAAAACCTGTATCTATACTTATGATGGATTTGTTATGACTCAAAGTGTGTTCATTCAAGATCATTTAGTAAATTCTAAATCCTTTGGCGAGCTACCTGGAAGGGGCTGGAGAGCTACTGGAAGCTCCTGAGCCACAGGTTGGAGACCCCTGCTTCAGATGGACGTCTGTATCTGTCTCTGGTCACTTTGAACCTTGGATCTATGTATTTATGTGTTTGTATATCTTTTGATCTTTCTCTATTTTGTTATTTCTCCATCTCTCCATCTCTATGCATGAAGGAGAACACTGCCCTTCCATACTTTATGTTTGTTCCATTTGCGAATCCCAAACCCGGACGACAAAAACACATAACTCCAGCACTTATCAACATATTCTGATATAATCTTTTGCCGAGCCGGACCGGTCGGGACTTCTTTAGTCTAGTCTAGTGACGTAGTTCCCGGGGAATGGGGTGAGGGTGGGGGTGAGGGTGGGGGTGAGAGAGAGAGGGGGGGGGTAATGGCATGTAGCGGTGAGGTCAGCCTTGTGTTGTGCTGAGGGAGTGTTGTAATGGACAAATAAAAGGTAAAATTCCACTGAAGAAGAGGAGGAGGAGAAGCAGCGTTGTGCAAAATGACGAAGATCTCCCGTCAGTTCCCTGTGGGGCCTCACACGGGGGCCTCACACGGGGGCCTCACACGGGGGCTTCACACGGGGGCTTCACACGGGGGCTTCGCGCAGAATCTGCTCCCCCCTTTGGCAACACTTTCCTGGGGAGAGAAGGTCAGAGCAGCCTTCAGAAGCAGCATCCACCAAACGCAGTTAAGGCGGTATTTTTCCAAAGAGACAGTACAAGTGTGTTGTCATAGGAAACAGACTTTTATTTCCTATTGGGTCATAATCATGTGACATCACTCCTGAAAAGACACGCATCAGTTTTGTAAAGTGGATTTATTGTCTCCCAAAAGTCCATACGTTTGTGAGTAAAAGCTACATTCAGGGTGCTTGCTCTTTTTCCAAATAAAACTTTTTTAAACTGATATTTTTTCCCCAAGACCCTAACTTTATGAACTTTATATTTGTGTTCCTACTGCCTACTTCATCGGTTCAGATTGTGCCAACTGTGTTTATCAGAAATGTTCACGTTTTCGTTCCAGGCCAGTATTCAATGGACAAAAGCATTATTCACAATGTCTTTGAGCGCACTGTAAAATTCTACCAGACTTTTTCTCCCAGACTTTATTAAGACTTTCAAAAGCACCCTGCACATTTTAAGAAGCGTGCATATGAAGTGAGTTCTAACCTATAGTATGACCCTTTTCACAAGAAAGATTAGTTTATTTATTTTAAGTGACAATAAACAAGGGAAAGATGCTTTGTGCCAGACTCAAGTTAATTTCCTGCTGAAGATTTATTTTCAGTGGGGACTTCAGGCAACGTGGGGTCAAGAGTCTTGCCCAAGGACACGACGACAGCAGTGGGAGAAGTTGGAGTAGGTCGTGTGGGGGGATTGAACCCACGACCTTCAGGCTCAATGCTCTACCACCTGAGCCACTGTCGCTCACTGTGTTATTATTTAAATTATCATTGTTCATAATAAATATATCTAAAACATTCCCTCCCTTTGGCGTTCACCGTAGAATAATTAGAACATATATATATATATATATATACTGTTATGGATTAGAATTCATTGTGTCCAATCAGGAACCAGAGGAATGCATTTGAAAAACATCTCTAGGTTTCATCAGATCAATGTAGAAATTCTGCGTAATGAATTTTACAGCATTCTTGGGTTTCATGACGTCAGGACAGTGGATAACAAACGTAGGACAGGACGTGACGTATCCTGGCGCTGCAGTCTGCCGGGTTTATACACGGAGATATAGTAGAAGAAGAAGTGGTTTATACACGGAGATATAGTAGAAGAAGAAGAGGTTTGTACACGGAGATATAGTAGAAGAAGAAGAGGTTTGTACACGGAGATATAGTAGAAGAAGAAGAGGTTTGTACACGGAGATATAGTAGAAGAAGAAGAGGTTTGTACACAGAGATATAGTAGAAGAAGAAGTGGTTTATACACGGAGATATAGTAGAAGAAGAAGTGGTTTATACACAGAGATATAGTAGAAGAAGAAGAGGTTTGTACACAGAGATATAGTAGAAGAAGAAGTGGTTTATACACGGAGATATAGTAGAAGAAGAAGTGGTTTATACACAGAGATATAGTAGAAGAAGAAGCATCTTTTTGTGCGGTGTACGCTTGTAAAAACCGCACAAATAGAGAAAGACAGAGTTTGTTCATGTTCCAACTGTGGTCTCATATAAAGGAGGACACTTTGAAAAAATCACTGGAATGAGGCGGGCGAGGTGGATCAAGGCTTTCCCAGATAAGCGCCCCCTGCAGGCCACCCCAATGAAACGCAGCAATTTCTTCTGTTTTTATTTTTTTTTAAATTCCCGAAATCAAGACTCTTGAGAAATATTTGTTAGTCCTTCCTTAGAACTGAGTGTCCCCGATTAAGACTGTTCCAACAACCGTACACCACACAAGAGGAGATCCTTTGACTCCAAAACAGACTTTACGTGGTTTTCAATGGGAGCAACACTGTCCCATCTCTGCTCAAGCGCCCCCTACTGGCCAGGTTGATGAAACACAAGAATAGTTTGTAATTTCTAAAAAAAAAGTTGCAAAAAGTGAGGTAAGATGACTTTTTTCACATTCCATTTTCCTATCTATTATTCTCCAGCAAAACTCGTCCAATCACTTTCAAAGCTGAGCGTGTGTTTTGGGTGATGTCACATGATCTCGGGCTCGTTCTAGTGAAGTCAAACAAAAGTGTAACTGAGCAACTGAAGAGAGAGGAGCGAGAATGGAAAGTGTTAGAGAAGAAAAAATGGATAGTTACCGCGACGTCACTGCACCACACAACACTTGACTGCTTTTTGTTGCTTATTGTCATTAGGTTTACCTGCCCCTGCTGCTGTTCGGAAGGACAGGAAGACGGGCTGCGGAGACACACAACAGTCACACACAACAGTCACACGTTGGTAAAAATGCATTAAAAAACACATGTGTAGTGCAAAAAAAGACACTGGGGTTTCTTTTTTATATACAATAAGCTCAGTTCTTGATAGCTGTGTGTTTTAAGGCTGTCCTCACACACACTTCACACACTTCTCTGACCATCTGAACTCACAACGACTGAAGTGAGAGAGACCAGAGATGTCAAAACTGTTGGGTGTAGGCCTGAGAGCTGCTGCAGCTGTCAAAAGCCGTGCATACGCTGAAAACTACAGCTGTATAGGACAACGTGCATAGACCAGAGAGAGACCAGAGAGAGACCAGAGAGAGAGACCAGAGAGAGACCAGAGAGAGAGACCAGAGAGAGAGACCAGGGAGAGACCAGAGCGAGACCAGAGAGAGGCCAGAGAGAGACCAGCGAGAGAGACCAGGGAGAGACCAGAGCGAGACCAGAGAGAGAGACCAGAGAGAGGCCAGAGAGAGACCAGAGAGAGACCAGAGAGAGACCAGTGAGAGACCAGAGAGAGACCAGAGAGAGACCAGAGAGACACCAGAGAGAGACCAGAGAGAGAGACCAGAGAGAGACCAGAGAGAGACCAGAGAGAGAGACCAGAGAGTGACCAGAGAGTGACCAGAGAGAGACCAGAGAGAGACCAGAGAGAGACCAGAGAGAGACCAGGGAAAGTCCAGAGAGAGACCAGAGAGAGACCAGAGAGAGACCAGAGAGAGACCAGCGAGAGAGACCAGAGCGAGACCAGAGAGAGAGACCAGAGAGAGAGACCAGAGAGAGAGACCAGAGAGAGAGACCAGAGAGAGACCAGAGAGAGACCAGAGAGAGACCAGAGAGAGACCAGAGAGAGACCAGAGAGAGACCAGGGAAAGTCCAGAGAGAGACCACAGAGAGACCAGCGAGAGAGACCAGGGAGAGACCAGAGCGAGACCAGAGAGAGACCAGAGAGAGACCAGAGAGAGACCAGAGAGAGACCAGAGAGAGACCAGAGAGAGACCAGAGAGAGACCAGAGAGAGACCAGAGAGAGGCCAGAGAGAGACCAGCGAGAGAGACCAGGGAGAGACCAGAGCGAGACCAGAGAGAGGCCAGAGAGAGACCAGCGAGAGAGACCAGGGAGAGACCAGAGAGAGACCAGAGAGAGAGACCAGAGAGAGGCCAGAGAGAGACCAGAGAGAGACCAGAGAGAGACCAGTGAGAGACCAGAGAGAGACCAGAGAGAGACCAGGGAAAGTCCAGAGAGAGACCAGAGAGAGACCAGAGAGAGACCAGAGAGAGACCAGAGAGAGACCAGGGAAAGTCCAGAGAGAGACCAGAGAGAGGCCAGAGAGAGACCAGCGAGAGAGACCAGGGAGAGACCAGAGCGAGACCAGAGAGAGAGACCAGAGAGAGAGACCAGAGAGAGACCAGAGAGAGACCAGAGAGAGACCAGAGAGAGACCAGTGAGAGACCAGGGAGAGACCAGAGAGAGAGACCAGAGAGAGACCAGAGAGAGACCAGCGAGAGAGACCAGAGAGAGACCAGAGCGAGACCAGAGAGAGACCAGAGAGAGACTAGAGAGAGAGACCAGAGAGAGACCAGAGAGAGAGACCAGAGAGAGAGACCAGAGAGAGACCAGAGAGAGACCAGAGAGAGACCAGAGAGAGACCAGAGAGAGACCAGGGAGAGAGAGACCAGAGAGAGACCAGAGAGAGACCAGGGAGAGAGAGACCAGAGAGAGACCAGAGAGAGACCAGAGAGAGACCAGAACTGAGGGCTAAGGAAGGACTGGGGTAGTCGTCTGAACTGATCACAGCAGTGCAGACACATACGTTAGCGAGGAACCACTGTGTTACATTTATTTGTGTTCATTTTGGCCGTTAGAGTTGATATTGTACATGTTTTTATTGAAAGAGTAACCCGGAGCACACGCAGGAAACCCAGACAAAAGACTTTTATATGTCCTTAGAAGATACTGGACTTGTCTTTACCTGTAGCAGCAAAACACTAAATATGATTAATGGCATTTTAGCTAAAAGTAAAACTTGTTAAAATGCCAAACAAATAAGAAGGTGTATGTTTTGGTGGGACGGACAGACTTTACGGAGCAGACTTCACGGACAGACGTGGCGAGGGGAAAAGGACTGTATTAAGCAGGTCCTTGTCTGGCCACAGCTGCCCCGGGGCGGAGGTTAAACTCACAGACCACAGCGCTGCATTTTTGTAGCTAGGTGCTAACTACGGCCGACATTTCTGAAAACATGAACCGCAGTGGTTTTTAGTGAGGTGTGAGTGTGTGTGTGTGTGTGTGCGTGTGTGAGTGTGTGCATTTGTGACTGAGTGTGTGACTGAGTGTGTGTGTGTGTGTTTGTGTGTGTGTAAGTGTGTGTGTGTGTGCGTGTGTGTGACTGTGTGTGTGTGAGTGTGTGTGTGTGTGTGTGTGCGTGTGTGAGTGTGTGTGTGCATGTGTGACTGAGTGTGTGCATGTGTGTGTGTGTGCATGTGTGACTGAGTGTGGGTATGTGTGTGTGCGTGTTCTGTGTCTGTGCGTGTTGTGTGTTATGTGTGAGTTGTGTGTGTGTGTGTGTTTGTGCGCACAGGTCAGCTCTCGTGTAAACTCTAGTGTGAGGAATGATGAAAGACACACAACCAAAGGCGGGACCGAGCGGTGACACGGAGCAGTGTGTGTGTGTGTGTGTGTGTGTGTATGTGTGTATGTGTGTGTGCAAAACAAAGGCGCATAAGCACTGGTTTTAGGTATTTAAAATCATTATTTTAATCAAGCAGAAGTGAAGAACCTGTCTTGTACTTGGACAATATTTTCCTGTGAATGATATTGAAATCTGAATGTAGAAGCATGGCTAACCACATGCGTTATTTAACTTAGTAAGGCCGACCACAACATACAGTACAGACGTGTGTGTGTGTGTGTGTGTGTGTGTGTGTGTGTGTGTAGCCCTGGTTATTTCAAAGCTTCTGTGAGATTGTGACAGGATCGGAGAAACCCGGGCCTGAAACGGAGACGGCTGCGGGACTCCTTTGATCATTTACTAAAACACTGATGTATTTGTGACATACCTGCATCTTAGACCAAAGCTAAAGTGGGGAACGTGGCGAGGTGTGTTACCTTGTGGTCCCCCATGCAGACGTTGGGCCCGATGTTATCATACACTATCGACTTCTCTTCGTTTTCAGG